TAAAGGGTATGTATAAGACCTAACACTTCAAACAGAAAATGTAACGCATTCTGTGTGAATGTATGTGTTAACATGTCTTCATCAGGAGACTGGCCACTGAAAGATGCATAGTTCACACTCTCAGACTTCCTTGTAATGGCAACTTTTGGGTGTCTGCACAACAGCAGCATTCAACAGTGCAGTGACGGGTCCCACTGGCTCTTTGGGTCCTGAATGGAGTTCAGCATTGACTGATGTCGTTAAAATTCAGAGGTTACTAGTTTAAGTTCCTGCTTTTAGATATTGGGGGTGGGGTTGGGGTAGTGCCAATCAAGAGGGCATTTTAATTCTTGTTTTTCATCTATGCCTTTGCAGAATTAAATATAGCTTTGGGTACATTTAAAAGGAAACCTTTATCACCCTCATACTAAACATTTTAAAAGAGGAGGGACTGAAGTTTTCTTCAGTGTGCTAACTTGTATGTGGGATCATTTTACTTTCTTACTGTCAGGCACCAAATGCCATTGGAAGTATGATACCGAGGTACGCTTACACCATCGCATAAAGCCGTTTCATTGTTTGTGGCACTGATTTTCATTGAAATGGGCCAGAAGCTTATCTACTGAAAGGCAGATTTGGGGCAGAATTTGGTAACAGAGCAGGGAGTAAAGATTTCTTCAGCAGTCAGTGACAGCAAAAGGAAAATGGACCAGAAGAGCCTACTTGAAACCACACTGAAGGCAGACAGGAAAAGGAACAAGTCCCAGAATAAACACGTTGGCACCATGTTCTACCTTGCACTTAAACTGAACTTTCATGCTATTTAAAGCAAACCGAAGGGCCCTAGTTGATTATTGCAAATGTTCTGTTTTCTGGTTGAGAAATCAGTAACCTTGCTGAACTCCCATTGTTTTGGGGAAGTTGTCTTATCCTTCCAGACCAACCAGAGGTAAAGCAGAAGTCTCCTGTCTGGAAGAAAGAAGCCTGTCCCCAGTGGAATCACTTGTTTGTCTTTGATGGTGTGACCCCAGCTCAGCTGCAGCAGTCATGTCTACACTTGACTGTCTGGGACCAGTCAACTTCCAGCTCAAGCGATCAGTTCCTAGGAGGAGCTAAACTTGGTGCAAGTAGGTTCTTTATCATGAAAAATTGAAGGTAATTTGGGAAGTTTACTAGTTCACATTCTAAATAATACTTACACTGTGCTATTTATCACCCACTGCCATGTGCCTATACGTACAGCCCAGCCTGTCCTTACTAACTTTCAGTCTTGAGCCTTGATCCTGTAAGAAAGAAGCACTGCATGTGCGTGCTTTAGTTCAGGTCTGTGCAAAAAGCTCACGGTTGCCAATGGGCATTTTCAGGAAAGCCATTTGTTAATATGGTAAGTTCAAGGATTGGAGGCAGGCACAGAAAAGCTGGGTGAAGTTAACTCTTCTAGAGCTCCATTCATAATTTTTTAAGATTGGTTCCCTGAGCTGTTTCCTATGCATTGGTTAATTTTAAATACTATTTCATCAAGAGGAAGCACAAGAACTAATGACCTTGTAGACTTCAACCTTCTGTATGTTTGTGCTTATTAGTTTACATCCACAAAACAATCCAGGTAGTGGGACACAGAGAAAATGAAACATGCTCAGAAGGGGCACATCTAAGTTTTGGGCTCTGTTCTAATGTATGTGCAAGAGAGGAAGCTTGCTCTCAAGGCTGTGAAATTCATGAGAAGCCCTCTGCTTACCGAATAGGCCCTGTTTCACTCATAGTTGTGCAGAGAAGCCCTGTCACTTGAAGACTGCCCCATGGAGTCTGCCTTCCCAGAGAGTCAGTGCTTTGCTTTCGGTTTTGAGACAAAACGCTCAAAATGGTTGAGGCTCAAGCACTGTGTTATGGTATCAACACGCACTTTAGGGGAATATTATCACTACTAATAACTCAGTGCTGTGCAAGCTGCCTTGTGAACAGCTTTTGATTGTCCTGCCCAGCATTTTCCTTTCTGCCAGAGTGGGGACTACCTGCTCCTGAGTGAAGAAGACTATTCAAGGTCTAAGCCTAGTAATGCATTAAAGTGACTGCAGATGAGCTGCAGCAGGAGACCTAGTTAGTGTATTCTGCTGTTACTAGCACACACGGCTTGTTTCTTTGCTTTTAATCATATAACCAGAAACTTTCTTTGCTGCAGGATCAATTCTTTAGTAAGTGATTCTAGTTTAACAAGATGTAAATAATTTGTCAAAAGTATAACTACAATTTATTGCAATTAATGCCTTAGTAGCTAAGGAACAGCTGAAGAAGCTGGTTGGTGGTTGTCTAGTCAGTCAGGTAAGACCAAGTGAAAAGTAGCTGTGACCTTCCTTTTTGTTTTGTTGCAGTGGAATTGTTTGGCTCTACAGCCCTTTCTCAGTCAGTGCTCCAATGGCAGGAAGTGCTCTGCAGCCCAAACACATGGATGGACTTTACACTTGTACTGCATTCAAGCAAGGAAAATTTTAAATCATGAGAGATGACTGCATAACAGCTTTCCCCATTTGTGAAGCTTTCAATTCAAGTGGCATGTGGCTTTTGGGTCTGGGGAAAGGAACACTGCAACTGTGGAATATAGAGTTATACATTTGGAAGTGTGCAATGTTCTGAAGGTTTTATTGCTCCAAAGGTTAAGGCTTTGTTATCTGTGTGTCTAGCTGGAGTATAAGGTTTCTTTGGGAGTGACAAACCCAGAGATGCATTGTGCTGACAGTAGCCAGATGATAGGCAGTTTTCTAGTTCTGGGCATAGAACTGTCATTCTTTAATCAGGAGTGAGGGACAACAGTTAATAGAAAAGTGGGGTCAGACCAAGTTCCTTGTTCTTATCAGCTGTAAGACAGTATTAACAAGTCTGATCCATATGGCATACAGGACAGGAGTTTAGCTAGGGTTATCATTTATTCATGTATGCTTAAGGCCCAGCTGCTGTGTTACAGTCAGCAGAAACTTTATATATACAACTGTAACAAGTGCTGCTGTTACATACCTCAAACCCCTTACCAAGAGTATTCGCCTTTCTTCCTCCCCAAGTAATGTGGCTTTTAAGGAGTGAAGAGTTAGACACAGGGAGTTATACGCTAAATTCAGGAACTAGAAGAGTAGTAGCATACCTTACACAAAATACACCCCACACAAGAACCACTTGACTCCCAAGTCTTTTGTTACTTTGCAGATCTTTTATTTAGATGTTTGCTGCTGCAAATAAAAAACCACACACAATTCAACTCAAGTATAAAGCAGCATAGATGGTGTAAATGGAAGAGAAAAGCTGACACCATACTGTATCTCACTTTCTAACAGATTTTCAAGGAAAGGGCAAGTGTAGGGGGGAAGGAATGGTCACAGAAATGCTCTCTACTAGAGAGAATACAACTGTGATATAAACAAGCAGTCCCTTCATCTTTGGAGTCTGAAACTTTAAATCAAACATTTAAAAAAATTAGAAAATTTGTTAGAAAAAAATAGGTGCAGTAAAATTGTATCTATTGGATCACGTGTACATAATAAGTTCATTAAGTAAAAAAGTGATCTTTACAAATAATGCTTTGTAGCAAATAATCAGCTGCACTGTACCAGACTACAGCATTGTTTAGGCATTTTTACAGATGCAAGTCTTAATCTGAAAAGTAACAAAATATACAGAGCAAAACTATTTCCCTTTAAACTAGTATTGCAATCCACATACTGTGTGGTTTTATTTTTATATATATATATATGTATAAATACTACACTATAACTGATCAGTAATGAAGCTGGAATGCAAACACAGAAGTGTATTAGATTCCAACAGCATATTTGCCTAGTTGTTACATGAGGAGGGTATCAGTGTTCCTGTGCCATCATTGCAGTTTTCTCCAGTTGAGAGCAGCATCCAGAAGAAGTCTAATTTCTACACAGAGCAGTTCTGAGGTGTTGTCAGTTCTTCTGTGTGCATGGGGTGGGGGACGGGCTGTGGGCATCAAGACCAAGGTCAAAAAACAGGGTCTATAAACTCACGTGCACACAGGTACACGCATACATACAGGGCTTGCAAATCCTGAGTTCTACAACCTGTTGTCTTAACTGTTGAACTTTACATTGTAACTAATAACAGAGAGACATATGGCACAGAATTTGCCCACAGTCACTTAGTTTTAGACCAAGCTGAATCCAGCACCTGCTTGCTTAAAGAGAGATGTGACCTAAGGCCTTTTGGCACTAAGCAAAGGCGTAAGCAAGTTACCATGATCAGTGGTACCATGACTTTATAACTATACCAAATTTAACAGGAGGTATGGAATAAAAGAGAGATCCAAACACCTCTGGGTTTTTAAAGAACACTTATTCAATGTCATACAGTGACCCCTCCTCAGGGAAAAAAAACAATACAACAAAAACACCCCCAATACAAGAATACAGCAGTAAGATCTGCCTTCCCCACAGTCCTGCCTTCTTGTTACAAGCATCATTACATTGCCTCAAACTCATCAATTCTCTGCTTGGTGTTGCCTTGCCGGATCTGCCGCAGCGTCTTGTACTTGTCACGTCCCTGTCGCATGTTCTCCGAGTGGATGATATCATTGTGGGTCCTCTTATTTTCATCTCTAGCCTGAGCCAGCTCATCTGTCAGTGCCTGCAATATAAAGGACAGCAGAGACAGATTATACATGTGAAGCTTTCAGCTGGTGACAGCAGTGCTCTTTGGTGAGAGTTGACAGTTGTTAGGTAACTGGACAGATCAGTGTTACAGATACAACACATGCTTTCCATAAACACTATGGAAAATGTAAATAAGTAATCTCAAAGCCAGAGCGATGACAGTAACCTTTATATACCTTGTCTTTAATTCCAACTGCCTACAGGAACTGTAAATGAGAAACCATTGTGCTTTGTGTGCTTAACCAAGCAGTTAAGCGGTCTATTTTCCAGGAACAATTGTTTCAATTACTCCACTGTCTTACCCTCAGCTGCCTCTGCACACGTTCATTCTTCTCTGCTTCAGTAACGCGCTTCTCCTCATTGCGGTCGTTCCTGATCCCCTCGCTGGAGAACTCTGCGCTGTAGGCAGAGTACTCAGATCCCTCCTCTTGCAAGTTATCATGGACATGGTAGTTAACAGGCTCATAGACAGGAGGTGGGGGTGGAGGTGGAGCAGTCATCACCAGCTGTAGCTCCTCCTTTGTCTTTACCAGATCCTCCTGAGCTTCCTTGGCCTTTAGGAAGAGAGTGAAAAATAGTCTGAAATGCATTTTTTGCTTTACACCAGCTTAATGAACATTTTAATGCTGTCTCCTCACTTGTTTCAATCTACTATGAAAAGCAAGAAAGGGAATTAAATCTCTGCAGTTGACACACTCTGTTGTGGTCTTAAGCAAAACATTTTTGCTAGTGGTACTAGCATCCACTGTGTAACTGTGTAATGTGCAGAGGAGCTTAACAAATAATCTTCCAAGAAAACACACTCTAGGAAAAACAGTTCTGCTGGAATCTACAGTTATCTTCATCCTGTGCTCCATCTGAAGAGCTATAGGCTGTAGATGAAGGTTCCACAGAGCAAGAACTTTGATTCCCCGGTTGGCATTTTAATGCAGTCACAGACTGGGCAGTCAGATTCCCTGCTGCTTCAGAGGTTCTGCCCTCCTGTGCAGTTTGCAGCACCAGACAAAGGGCACCGGCAGAACCAGGCACACTGAGCCTGGCATGGGTTGGGTTTGGTGCATCCAATTAATTAAACTCTCCCAACCCAAGGTGCCAGGAAGCCACTGACAACAGCACACACTCCTCAGGACTGGTATGTGCAGCGTGCCATCTCCTTTTGATTGATGTGATGTTTTCAGACATTGCATCGTGGACTAAACACCTCATTTATACAATGCACCACTTCACCCTATGTCTCCAAGGCCATAATTACATTTTTAGGTTTCATACAGGCTTCCATTTTGAATTTTGACTGAAGGCTTGTTGGAAGAAAGGTGTTTTACAGACATATTGCACATTCCTCACAAGTCTGACCTTCTCTGCTGGCCTACAGATGTTTGTCTACACATTAAGAGAAGTCATATCAGCCAAGCACTGTGGTATGCTCTGCTCAAGTGCAGGGCTCCAGAGCAACTTTGTAAAGCAGATACTCACTCTGATTTGCCACTCTTCAACCTCGCTCTCTTTACGCCTCCGTGCCTCCTCAAGAAGTGCAATCCTGGCTGTATACTCTGCAAGCTCTGTAGCCTGTTGAATAGTAAAACTGGAATTACAAGGACTCTTCATAAAAACCAAAACACTCAGAGCAAACAAACACTGGTGACTGAGAAAAGACCCTACTGTTACATTTCACTGTAATAAAGATTGAATAGTAATTTAAGAAACCAGTGCCACAATGATGCTCTCACATGGCCTACTACTTCAATATGTTTTTCCCTGGAGAAAAAGGCTTTACCTTACTCAAAGGGCATAATAACATATCTGTATCTCTTATCCTCAAAATGACTGGGTCTTACCAGCTGTTCCTGGCTCTTTATCTGGTCCATATTCTGTCTCTCCAGCTCTTCCTTGGCCTGCAGAGCAGCCAAACGATCAGCTTCCAAACGTTCTGCTTCCGCCTGGGCTCGTCTCCTTTCCTCCTCCAGCTGAATGGCTCTTTGGATCTGATCTGAGAGCTCTGGAACAAGATGAATCAATGTGGTTAGTGCATAAGCCTGGTCAAAGCAAAGGGACTACAGGCAGTCTCTTAGGTAACTGCGGAAGTCATGACAAGCACTTCACTCCTGCTTGCAATACCCCCTCACTGTGCACCTCAAAGTAATTATCTGTGTAACACATCAAGTAACTGAACTCAGAAGTAGTCGGCTGCACATGATTAAATTTTCTGCAAGATACTTGCACTGAAGCGTGCAGCACTGACATGATTCTGCTGCCCTTAAATGACAGTTTACTCCAAGGACCAGATGTTGCTGTCTCAAATTGCATTGAAACAGAAGCTTCCTTTTCACTGGAAAGACTTCTTTCCAAAAGTACTTTTTCTGTTAAAGTAAAAAGTACTTGAGAGCTGAATGCTCACTGCCTGCTGGAAAAGACAAACTACTCAGACCCACTTGACAACAGGAGGAAACAGAGTTTGTGCCCTTCAGTTCCCAAATACAATTGGCAGATTTTATGCTACTTTTGTACTTCGGCTGATCTCAGTATGTGCATGTGTGTATTTATCCACATAGACAGGTATCAGTAAGCCTTGCCAAGAGATCCCAGTGAAACCAGGTTTAGGCAAGGTGTAGGTGGGCTATATGGGTCACTACCTATGGAGCACGATACATATGGTCTGGTACAAGTACTTTACCTTTCTCTGCTTTCTGAGTCTTCACCTCATATTCTTGTAGCCTCACCAGCAGCTCCTCCTTCTCCCTCAACATTTGCTCTTTCTCCCTCTCAATTGTCTCCCTTTTCTTCTTTTCATTTTCTAGTTGTTGCCTGTCAGAAACAGATTTCATGCTTGAAGCTCACT